AATTTTATGTATTATTTACTTTGAACCTCACAAGAATGTTTGTTTGTGTTAATAACATTAATGTAGGTCTAGGGCCTATAGTTAACACAATCTATGTCGTAATGCATCATTTAACTTTTAATATCTTTTTAACATGTTTAAACTGTATTATCATTTTTTTTAATGTTCATTATAAAATTGTACTTAGTAGAAACTAGATTCCATTGGCAAATATGTTTTTTGGTTAAAAAAACAAAACAAAATAAAACAAAAACATTATATTATGCATTATTAATTAGATCCGATATACCGATCCCGGTTGAGAGTATCTTGATGGTAAACGCCTTACTTGAGGTGGTGTACCGTTATAACTGCCATTCATGGGGCTGTCATCCATCATGGACGATGTAGGAGATACGTCTTCTAGATTCCAGTTCTCTTTACCAGCTTCATCCCAATTACCAACTGTTTTGTTATTTAAACAAAACAACGTAACAACCAATACTATAACAATGATTAGGATAACACCAGCCAATGCTATTACAAACCATACCCAGTTATCAAGCGACTGTACTGATTCTAATGCATTATTTGCTGACCCGCCTATCTCATCTACAAAGAAAAAAATTAATTGAATGTTTAAGGTTGCTAACTGACTCAGGCTATATTGCATGCTTGCATGATATCATTATTTTTTGTCTTAAAAATTTAGTTAAAGAGTATTAATAATACATACGGTTATGCAAATATAATAATATATTATTCACACTTGTGCGAATGATGCCTTGGATGAAAGTATAAGCACATTGAATAGAACACGCAATTTCAAGTTTTGTTTATTTATTGAGCTTTAACACCGCACAAAAATACTAAAATATAAAATTACAATATATACAATCGTTTGCAATATATTGAGAGACCACGGTATTAAGATAGAGCATCAGACACATTTACTAGTATAGAGATCATATTTTGTCGAACAGTCTTCTTGTACTGTATCATCTCGTTTTCACAATAAAAAAGAATATATTACAGAATAAAGAATGTAAATTATTAAATTGAGTAAAATAATGTTGAATGTCTACAAATTCCATACCTTATACAAAGTAACTAAGATTTTAGAATCTCTAAAGCGTTCTTCCTTTAAAAAAAGGAAGGTGTATAAGGTGTATCCTTATAAAGCCACTCCTAAAAGAGTGAACGTTACATGCAAGTTTACTAGGTCAACTTTAGACCTCTTTTATACACATTGTATTACTTTCTACTTACTAATCTCACAATTTGTTCCAGTATAATTTGGCTGGCATTTGCAAATATAGACGCTGTTTATGTTGTGACATACTCCAAAATTCTGACAAGGCGAACTGGAACATGCACCTAATGCTGCAGAAAAAATAGAACAACAATGCATAGACAATTATGAACAACAATAGCATCATATTTAAAATAGTAATAAGTATTATTAAAATGATGATATTAATAAAAATGTCGTGCTCAATATAAAATAATTGTGTATACTTAGTACCGGAAGAAATGACATAAGAAGAATAATTGTATTATTAATAAAACTTATAACTAAATCAATATAATGAATATTATTAAAATTAATAAGTGTAATTGAAATAATCATCATCCTCATTTGTCTCGAGACATAATACAGCCTCCAGATCACCTCGGGCTATATTTTGAACTATAT